CCCGCGTGGCAACCCTGGGAGAATGCCCCCTGCTATCGAGTAAGAAGGGACCGCGATTCGAGGGGAGGCCTACGCGTGGTGTGCTAGCTTTCCAGGAGGGGAACAACAGAACTCGCCAAGCCGTTTGAGCCGCCGACGAAGGAGGAGGTGCTGCGATACCGATACACGACATACATGGGCGAGAACCACCCGGCAGAGAAGAAGGTGGTCGTCCAGTTCTCGCCGGCCGACCTGGGCTTGACGCCGGTGCAGGCGAACAAGCTCAAGAAGCTAGCGGGGACGCGGTACGACCCGGGCAAGGACATCGTCAAGATGAGCTGCGAGAGCTTCGACCACGCCGCGCAGAACAAGCGATACCTCTCGGACCAGGTGGACACGCTCGTGGCGGCGGCCAAGGTAAGACATTCGCTGGCAAGAGGCAAGCGGCATGAACAGAGGATTAACGTCAGACTATAGGACCCCAAGGACACATTCGAGGACATTCCTCTGGATACGCGACACTACAAGCCGGTGGTCAAGCCCAAGTTCCCCAAGGCGTGGCGGTTGACGCCGGACCGCAAGAAGGAGCTGGCGGCGTTGCGGGAGCAGGCCAAGCAGCTGGACGCCGGCAAGAAGGCCGAGGGACAACTGGTGGATGGACAGAAGATGATCGACGCGATGCTGGGCGGGCCTTCCGTTGTTGCACAGCAGACGATAAGCAAAGAAGCCATGGCCGAGATGTTGGTAATCGCACAGAGGCAAGCGCCGCCCAAGGCCAGAAAGCAGGACAGAAACTAGGAACAGACTGGAGGGAGAGCGCTGGAGGATTGTACCATACCTACATCACGGTGTCTATCTGTCGTGGGTGGGCGGTTGGAGGGAGCTCGCTCATCTGGCCTTGGGCGCAGGGACTCTTTTGTACAACAGTCGTGTATGTCTACGGTCAATGTCATGGCATTCGTTCACGTCGCACGGTGCCCGCCAAGGGCTGTCGAGGGTCGGGGATATATGACAAAAGCGATAGGCCGCTGAGCTGGTGTCTCGAATACTCGATCATGGTCGGCCAGAACAATGTCGGCGCAAAAGGAGGTAGATGCCAACGGAGACGGAGTCGACAGAGCGACGCCGGGGTCCTTGTCACGAGGTGTCCAGCCTTGATTGGGCAAGCGCCGCATGGCCTGCTCCTGCTGCTGGTGCGGGGCCGAGGCATCGACCTGGACCGCAGGAGCTGTCGAGTGAGTGGGGTAACCAAGTGCAGGCTCCTACCAGCAGCTGCCTAGGCCCTGGGTATCTACCAACTGTCTACCGTACCTCACCGTAGGTTGGTACCTCAGGTAGGTAGGTAGGTAGGTACCTAGTGTAGGTGGATGATGCTCACTATCTGAGGTACCGACCTCCTGGAGAACGCAACACCAGCGCGTGGGTGTCTGGCCTGCTGGCAGCCCGAGAGATCCGCGCCATTGCATCCGTCAGACTCGTTCACATGCGCTTCATCGGTTTACCTGTCTGCCTTGGTATAGCGATAGTGCTGCTCATTTGCCAGGCCATCCATGCCGTGTCCCGCCCCCCCCCCCCCCCTCTCTTCATCGGGCAACGAGCTCGCTCCCCCATGCTCGCTTCCCCGCAGCCATCTTGGCAGCCTTGTCTCTACCTGCTCCAGCTTGTCTCATCTTGGCATCCATCGCCTCCACCCTTCGATCTCACCCATTCTACTTTCTTCCAACGACACTTTGCGTGCATCACCTCCAGGTGCGATAGACCCGTCTCTGCTTGAAATCGAAATAACGACATCTTCTCGCATTTGCCCATCATGGCAGCCGCTGTCGATCAGAAGATTCCCGCTTTCGAGAACACCTCGTTGGACGACATCACTCGCGTGACTGACACCCTTCGCGCTACCTTCCGCTCCTACAAGACCAAGGACATACAATGGCGACTCGTCCAGTTGCGCAAGTTCTACTGGGCCTTTGAGGACTACACCCCGGCCCTCATCAACGCTCTGAGGCAGGACCTGCGCAAGTCCAAGCACGAAGCTCTCTTGTCCGAGATCAACTGGATCAAGGACGACTGCCTCTATCTTATCAAGAACCTTGAGCGCTTCACCAAGGATGAGCCCGTCAGCGACGTGCCCATGACGTTCATCATGATGAAGCCTCGCGTTCGCAAGGAGCCTCTCGGCATGGTCCTCGTCATTGGTGCCTACAACTTCCCCGCCCAGCTGTCCATCGTTCCTCTGCTGGGCGCCGTCGCTGCCGGCTGCACCGCCGTCCTCAAGCCATCCGAGGGGGCCCCTGCCACTGCCATGGTCCTCAAGAAGATTGTCGAGGCCTCCCTCGACCCTTCTGCCTACGCCGTCGTCAACGGCGCCGTGGACGAGACGACTGCTCTGCTCGAGGTCAAGTGGGACAAGATCATGTACACCGGTGGCTCCGCCGTCGGCAAGATCATTTCCAAGAAGGCCGCCGAGACCCTGACCCCCGTGTGTCTCGAGCTCGGAGGTCTCAACCCCGCCTTTGTCACCCGCAACGCCGACATTAAGCTCGCCGCCCGTCGCCTCGGCTGGGGCAAGACGCTCAACGCCGGCCAGGTCTGCCTCTCCCAGAACTACATTCTCGCCGACCGTGCCGTTGTGCCGGAACTCATCGCCGCCTTCAAGTCGACCTTCAAGTCCTTCTTCCCCAGTGGTGCCAAGAACAGCCCTGATCTGTCCCGCATCGTCAACGCCCGTCACTTTGCTCGCATGAAGAAGATGCTCGACAGCACCGAGGGCGAGATTGTCATTGGTGGCGGCATGGACGAGGCGCAACTGTTCATTGAACCCACCATTGTGCTCGCCAACTCGCCTCACGATTCGGTCGTCCGCGAGGAGTCGTTCGGCCCCATCTTCGCCATCCTGCCCTACGACAGCCTCGACGCCGCGATTGAGTTGGTCAACGACCTGTGCCACACCCCGCTCGCCCTCTTTGCCTTTGGCAACGAGGAGGAGACCAAGAAGAGTAAGTCGTCCTCGAGCGGTGCCCCTTGCCAGTGTGAGCGACCCAGACTAACCCAGCTGCAGTTCTTGACAGGACGACGTCCGGCGGCGCTACCATCAACGACGTCTTCTCGCATGCCTCGATTCTGACGGTCCCCTTTGGAGGAGTCGGCCAGTCGGGACACGGCAGCTACCGTGGCCGTGCGTCGTTTGATCTCTTCACGCACCGTCGCAGCGTCGCCCAAGTGCCTTCGTGGCTCGACAAGTTCCTCCGCGTCCGCTACATGCCCTACTCGCCCAAGGAACTGGCGCGGCTGCAGTCGATGAGCGCCGGCAAGCCCGACTTTGACCGCAGCGGCAACCGGATCCGCGGACTCGGCTACTGGTTCAGCTTCCTCACCGGGTTCGGCGCCAAGACGGTGAAAGGTGCGTTGCTACGGTGGATCGTGGCGCTGGTGGCGGCCGTGTTGGCTAAGAAACGGGGGTTGATCTAGGTGTCCTTGGGCTCTGAGCGAATCTTGTCTGTGCAGGTTGTCCGCATCGGGCTTGCATGGCAAGAACGGACTGCACAGGCGTACTCGTCTTGCGAGAGTGATACTAGTCCGTACTTTCGATTTGGATGGATGGGACGGAATGGGGAATGAGGACTGCGGACCGTAGTAGCCTGGACTGGATCTCGGGGTATGTATATGGTGGAAAGTAAAATGTAGACGTTACGTGTAGTCATCTCGGCCTTTTCTTTTGTTGTTTTGATTGTATTGGTCTTGCTGTCGAACAGACGGGAGACCTCAGACTGTATGAAACTATTCCCTGAGCCATGCAGCATAATCTCCCGGTGCCCCATCATCAATCGATCGATGCTGTCAACCCACATATCGCCCTCTCCCTAGTGAGAGTTGACCTCTCTTAGTTTTCGGCAACCTTCGCCTTCTCCTCCGCCGCATGCTCATGCCCCCGCGTCTCGCCATGGCTCCCATGTCCGCGTGTCAGCTCCCCTTGCGCACCCTCCGGCTCTGGCTCCTCGAGGATGCTGGGAATAGCCGACCCGGCCACATTCATCTCGAGCCCATCCGCGCTCTCGGCCGGCGGCCCAGCCCGCCCGTCACCGCCGGCGTCGAAATAGCCCGGCCTGACATCGCTCGTCTTCCTGCCGCGTCGCCGCCGCAGCGACGCCACGGCGGCGTCATAGATGCTCGTGCGGCGCGCGGCGTCGGAGCGGGCGAGCTTGCTGCCGCGGGTGCTCGTCTGCTTGGGGTCCGGCGGGTAGAGGGTCGTCTGCAGGGGGTGCGGCGGCGTGTCGCTGGCGGGCGGTTGTGGGGCGCCGTCTGCGTTCGAGGCGGGCTTGGTGAGGCGTGAGAGGACGCTGGCGAGACGGGCCTGGAGGCGGACGGTGCGGGAGCGGGGGGGTTCTGGCAGGGGTTTTTCGGGGGTTGGATGGGACATTGTAATGTTGGTAGTGATGGCGTGAACAGTGTTTTTTTTTTATTTGCTATTCCTTTTCGAATGCGGAAGGATTTCTTTTTGAATGCCGGAAGAATGTATTGACTGTGGTTGGGATGAACTGGTATGGCTGTGGTGAGGATGATCGAGGATGCTTCGGACAAGGCGATGTGGGTAGTACTTGCGTGTGAGGATTGCCTCGGCGGGTGTCACCTGGCAGACGGCAGGACTCGGGCAGCACGAGAGGACGGAAGGCGCATCACAGTCTGGATATGAAGCGTCACTGCTGTGGTCAGGGGGATCCTTCTTGGTGGGGGTTCCTTGGTCGGAGGGGCTCATGGACGATGAAGCTCTTCACCAACAGTGATCCGACTGGCGATGGCTGGCGATGGCTGGCGATGGCTGGCGATGGCTGGCGACGGCAGAAAAGACATGGCAAGTCACAATGTCCGCTCTCGTGAAACAAATAGAATAAACTGGCTGGCTATGCGAAGTCGTGACTTGCATCAGCGAGCCTCTATCGTGGTGAGGTGGTACAGTTCGGTGCCTCTACACCCTCGACTCGTAGCTGCTCTACACCCTCGACTCGTAGCCGTTCTACACCCTCGACTCGTAGCTGCTCACACCCTCGGCCTCATGTCCCTCCCGCCCTGCTCAGAGACCCCGCAGGTGCGAGTAGTCCTTGGCGTCCGTTGGCAGATAGCGCTCGGCGAGAACGTCGGCCACGCTCTTGGTCACAGGCGCCTTCTTCTCGTACCTCTCCCGCAGCGCCCTCTCGACAGGCGTCGACGTGCCCGTCTCGACGAGGTTCACAGCATCCGTCTTGATGGCCTTGGCGGCATCCTCGGCCTTGTCGTCGACGATGCCCACAACCTCCTTCACCTTGTCGACCAGTCGGCCGGCCTCCCTCTTGCCAGCCTCCAAGACATCCTCAGCCTTGTCCTTGGACTCGACAGCCTTGCGGTCCGCGAGAGCCTTGAGCTCGGCAGCCCGCCTCTCGGCAGCGACGCGGGCCTGCTCAGCAGCGACCCTGGCCTCCTCGGCCCTCGCCTCACCGGCAGCGGCCGTCTTCTCGCGCGCACGCTCCCAGGCGCCCTTGGCCTCGCGCGCAATCTCCTTGCCCTCTCTCGCGAGCTCGCGGCCACCGGCAGCAGCCCGACGCTTGGCCTCATCAATCTGGGGCTCCGGGTCGCCAAAGGCCGAGCGCCAGGCGCGCCAGGCGGCGTCCTCGAGGCCCGCGCGGACGTCGTCCCAGTCGGTGCGCTGCAGGTAGTGGACGGCGCCCTCGACCTCTGCGTTCCAGCGGTCCTTGGCCGTGTCGACGAGGTTGGCACGCTTGGCGGCCTCGATCTCGTGGCGGGTCGGCGGCGGCGCGGGGACGACGGGCTCGAGGAACGAGTCGAGGACGCGGGCTTGGGAACGTAGGAGCTGCGACTGGTGCTCGCGCGTGCGCTGGTGTGTCTGGACGGCGAGGTAGGCGAGGCCCAGCGTCAGCGTGACGCCGCCCGTCTGTTTTTTGCGTCCCAGTGGTTAGCACGAGTGATAGACTATGGACGTGCGTGGGAGATTGGTTCAACATACGAGGCCAGTGGTGACGCCCATGGTCGGTATTCGCTGTGTTGGTTGTGTGTCGACAAAGCTTTTGGTTCGAGGCGAGAGGACCTGGCGAGTGGGTCGTTGAAGGTCAATTGGCGATGATTTTCCCTTCTGTGGCGCTCAAGCTGACATGTCGAGCGTCGCTGCGCTTGACGATGGTCAGGATGCTTTTTCTTGTCGTCGTGTCGAAAGAGGTGGGTGAGGGAATGACGTGGGGATGGGCATTGCATGTGGTTTCCTGGCAGACGTCCTCGATCGGTTGCGAGGTACTTGGCAGCCGCCCAAAGCGACTTGATCCGAGTGGAGCGACCGGGGACGACCCGGTGCGCCAAGACCAAAAAATTCACGGGTCCCGACCGCCGCGAACCTCAGCACACCACCCACTGATCACCCGACTCATCGATTGCTCGTCCTTTCCATCCATCGCCATCGCCATTGTCCCCGTCAACGCCAATCCGACGATATCCTTCTTTGCACCGTTTGCACACCATCCACCGATCACAACACCCAGCCCTCCACAATGGCTGGCGGTGCCGTCAAGTACAGGCATCTCAGCCGTCACTCGGCCGCCCGACAGGCCCTCCTCCGCGGCCTCGTCACCTCCCTCGTCAAGCACGAACACATCCAGACCACCTGGCCCAAGGCCAAGGAAGCACAGCGCCTCGCCGAGAAGCTCATCACCCTCGCCAAGCGCGACAACGAGGCCACGCGCCGCAAGGCCCAGGGCATCCTCTACGTACGTCTCCTTTTCTTCCTTGGGAACCCAGCCTTGACCGCTGCTCACACGACGCAGACCCCCCACGAGATCCTGCCCAAGCTCTTCGGCGAGCTCAAGGCACGCTACGCCGAGCGCCCCGGCGGCTACACCCGCGTCCTGCGCACCGAGCCCCGCAACGCCTACGACCAGGCGCCCTCGGCCATCCTCGAGCTCGTCGACGGGCCCCGCGACCTGCGCTTCACCATGACCGCCAAGGCCGTCGCCCGCGGCCAGCACGAGGGCTGGCCCATGAACGACGTCACCCAGAAGAACGTCGACAAGGTGACGCGGTATCGCGAGGGCGGCAAGAAGGCCCTCGACAAGCTCGTGAGCCAGTTCAAGTGGGTCATGGGCCAGCAGCAGAGGGAGACGGAGAAGAAGATTAGGAAAGATGGCGAGAAGGAGACGACGACACTGGACGCGAAGCAATAGCCAGGACGAGGCCAAAAAATAGGTCAACCAACAGACCACATCGTGGTTGAGCACAGTGTGGGACGGTGTCAAGATGCTGGGACGACATGAGGGCGGGAAAGACACGGGTTCAACTGGGTCGAAATTGGGCCGCCCGATCAAACGCGGCGCTGTACCATTATGCACAACTTTGAGTTTTTTTTTGGTTTTTTAAAGCGGACTGTGCAAGGACGGGCATGGTCTGTAGGGTATTATATCTATCCATTCTGTACAATTCCACAATGTACCACGACAGAGAACAAAGAATTCGTCCACCACTTTTTCTTGCTCCTCTACCCCCCCCTCTCAAATCTTCTCACACAAAGTCAAACGTGTCCCCCCTCTCCTGAATCATCTTGCCGACCCTCTGGCTGCCGACGATCCGCTCAAGCTTCATGACGTCGTACCGCGAGAACATGACGCGCACCGTGCCCTGGCCCGCCTCGAGCCGCATCTCCTCCTCGCTCTTGGCCAGGTAATCGCCGGCAATCTCGCGGTAGAAGAGCGGGTTCTCCGGCAGGCCGTACATGACGACGCGCCTCACGCCGCGCAGCCGGTACCGGCGGAAGTGGTGCGCCCTCTCCGTGTACAGCAGCACCTTGTGGCGGCCGCTGAGAAAGTGCGAGCGCGCGCGCGCCGCGTCGGTCGCGTCGGCGTACTCGGAGATGTTGCCAAACGATAGGCTCGCGAGCGCGTCGGCCGTGGCAAAGTAGTTGCGCACGCGCACAAAGTCGAGGTACGACGGCACAAAGATGAGCGTGCCGGCGACGTCCTTGCCGCGGCGCAGCAGCGCCGGCACAATGGCCGACGTGAAGTAGGCGAAGCGGGCGTCCGGGTCGCGCTCGGCCGACGCCGCCTCGAACCGCGAGAACGTCTGCCGCGCACGCACCGGCAGCTGCTGCAGCAGGCCCGCGCACGCCGGCTGGAAGCGCACCTTGCCCGCCCAGTTGTGGCACTGCGTGCGCTGGAGCTCCGTCAGCTCGGGCGTCAGGAACGGCGCGAGCACAACCGTCTGCCGGAAGTGCCTGGCCCAGTCCTCGAGGTACCATGACCGCACGCGGCTAAAGTCGCACCCGTGCGCGTCCTTGGGCTGCAGGTTGAGGTGCTCGAAAATGTACTCGACGTGCTCCCAGTTCTGGTTCAGCAGCCCGTCCGCCTGGTCGACAATGACCATCTCGATCGAGCTGAGAAAGTCGTAGTCTGTCGCCTTCTTGTCCTCGACCGACCCAATGGCCATGCGGAGACCGAGCGGGCTCGCCATGAGTATGTCTGAGTTGTAGAATTGCGCAAAGTACTTGATTGTCTTGCGTGTGAACTTGACCCCCAACCGGAACATGTCGTCGTCGTTGCCGTCAAACAGCTCCAGAAAGTCCGCCGGCTTGTTGTCGCGAAACTTTTCTGACGTGTCGACGTACGCGTCTTCAAACCGCTTGCGGTTCTCCTTTTGCGCGGGCTCGAGGAGGTCCTCGATCGTGCTGACCATCTTGGCACATGACTGCCTCGTGGGCAGCAAGAACAATACTTTGGGCCGGACAAAGCCCTGGTCCCTGCACTCCAGGTCGGGGTTGTCCTCCTTGGAGAGCTTGTATGTGTTCTTGATCACTCGGTCTCGCGTCCTGTGAACAGTTAGGGTCAAAACAGTCCACAGACGATAGGGCAGCTGTCTTACTTGAGAACATGGTTGATGGCGTGCAGGCAGGTAATTTGTCGGAGGCTGTCGGAATTCCTGACGTTGCGGTCGCCAAACAAGATATCTTGGTAGTTGAAAAGCATGGGCGCCAAAGATTGCTGCACAGGATCGAAAGATGGCAACTTTCGGGACACCACTTCCTTCAACTTCATCTTCAGCTTCAGGCCGTCAGGCCCCGTGATTGGCGATGGGAGCTTGGCTTCCTCGGCTCCGTCAACTTTGGGAGACATGAGGACTGCACGGGAAAGCTTCGTCACATGGCGGGAAGTCGCCCACTCGTTGCCTTGGACTGCACGAACCCTTTGCGCCGTGAGAGTCTCGTCGGGGCTCGTAAAATGATTGTCAAAGGGGTCGGTGGCATCCTCCTCGTCTTCGTCGTTGTCGTCGACGTCAATGTCGTCTTCTGCTTCGGCATGAGCAACAGCCGGGTCCTCCTCGGCTTCCTCGACGAGATCCAGGTCTTCAGGCTCCTTTTCTTCGGCATCGTCGTCCTCACTTTCATCGTCGAGAGGCGCACTCCCAAGATCTGGTTCTTTCGCCGCAGCGCCGCTGTCAAGCTTGCGCCGTTTGGCGTTGCGCCCGGAATCGTCTGTGAACCCCTGCAAAAGAGCCATGTATGGCCTCGCTGCTTTCTGCGTCTGCTCCTCGTCGTCCTCAGAATCGGATCCCTCAAGATCTTCTCCTTCTCCGTCCTCCGACTCATAGTCCTCCTCCTCGCCAGAAGATTCTTCCTCAGATGACCTGGGCAAGTCAGTCGTGAGATGGCCGCTTGCACCTTGAAAGTCTCATAACTTACGCCTCTTCGCCAACACGGCTCGTTTCGAACCGCGGGCCGGTACCGCCTCTAGGAGCGCCTCTGCCTCTTCCACGGCCTCGAGCACCACCACGGCCTCGGAAGGCTCCGCCACGACCACCTCCGCCTCCGCGACCTCGACCAGGCCCTCCTCCTCTACCGCCTCGGAAGCCACCGCCACGTCCTCCTCCACCGCCGCCGCCACCGCCTCTGCCTCTGCCTCTACCTCGGGGTCCCATGAAGGCAGTTCAATGAGATTCTAATGAGGAACAAAAAATGAGCGCCTGACGGGGCAGAAAAGGCTGAATGGCGAATATCAAACTGGGCTGAAAATGAAGAAAAAAAGTTATAAGCCGTATCGTAGCCTTGCAGCATCCAGAAAAACCCCACATGCGCACCAGCCACAGCGGGGCACGGCTCGCCACGGTTGCTATCAGCCTCTATCTTAGCGCCCACAACCCAGTCCCACTCTGCTGCCACAATTTTCGATTTTGAACGACCTCCCGACTTGTCGCGAACGGGACGACGGAGACGACTACATCACCCCCCCCCCTCTCAGACGCTACCTCCGCCCCCCCGTTTCCTCTCATTCTAGCCATCAACCCTGGCATCTGCCCAGCATGGCTGTAGAATCCGAGAAGTTCCTTCACCTTTCGAGGCCCATCGTGCCTGCGACGGCGAGCCTCCAGGGCAACATTGCCCCGCTCAACGTCAATATCCAGCCTCAGGTACGTGCGACCCCTCTTTGACATGAGGCGACGTTTGCGACCCCCAAGCCCATCATGTCGTCCTTTGCTCTTCGCTTCCATCATCAAGGATCCTCTGTACTGACCTGTCTCCCCAGGCTATTCTCTCCATCCTTGACCATGCTGTCCGCCGCGACATCAACGACACGCAGTCGACCCGCGTCATCGGCGCCCTCGTCGGCACCCGCTCCGAAGATGGCATGGAGGTCGAGGTCCGCTCCTGCTTCGCCATTCCCCATACCGAGAACGAGGACCAAGTCGAGGTCGATGTAGACTACCAGAAGAACATGCTCGCCCTGACCCTCAAGGCCTCGCCGCGCGAGTCCCTCCTCGGATGGTACACGACGAGCCACGAGCTCAACTCCTTCTCCGCCCTCATCCAGAACTTCTTCGCCGCCCCCGACACGGGCACCTTCCCCCACCCCGCCGTCCACCTCACCATCACGACCGACCCCGCCGCCGAGATTGAGACGCGCGCCTACATCTCTGCCCCCGTCGCCGTCAACGCCGAGCGCGCCGCCGAGTCCTGCCTCTTCATCCAGGTGCCCCACAAGGTCCTCTACGGCGACGCCGAGCGCTCGGCCCTGACGGCCATTGCCGCCGCCAAGGACACCGAGGACCGCTCCGCGCCCCTCATCTCCGACATTGAGGGCCTCGCCCGCTCCATCGACCAGGCCACGGGCCTCATCGACCGCGTCAGCGAGTGGGTCGGCGGCATCCTCGACGAGGACGAGGAGCCCAACCACGCCATCGGCCAGTACCTCATGAACGCCCTCTCCCTCGCCCCCAAGGTCGACCCGGAGCAGATGGAGTCGGACTTCAACAACCACATCCAGGACGTCCTCATGGTCTCCTACCTCGCCAACACCATCCGCAACCAGATCGACCTCTCGCAACGTCTGGCGACGGCCACCCTCAACATGGGCGAGAAGGACGGCGAGAACAAGGCTGCCGACGGCGACAAGGGCGGCGATTCGCGCGGCGGTCGCGGCGGCAAGAGGGGCGGTCGCGGCGGCGGCCGCGGCGGCAACCACAACCGGGAGCCACGGGAGCCCCGAGAGCCCAGGGAGCCCAGGGAACCTACCGAGTGAAAAAGACAAAGTTGCAAAACTGAGCATGGCAGGGAGGGGCCCCCCTTTCTCTCACAAAAAGTCAAAAACAAAAGTCGAATGAAAAAAACGACGATTGGAAGAATGGCAAGTTCTGTTGACTTTTGAACCCCGCCGAAAAGAAAAAAAAAGGTATCACTAGATCGTGCTTGAGCGAGGCGGAGCGGGCAAAGGGGAAAATAGGGAGGCGGAAAGAGGAAAGGGGAAAGCATGATGATTCCACGAAGCAGCTAGCTAGCCAAGCATTTTGACGGTTTGGAGGGGGCGTTTCTCTCCCGGAAAGGAGCGGAACAAATGTTGCAAGGAGGACACCGAACCGTCATGGCGTTACGGCAGTGTCAGGATTAGACAGCCAACCTTGGGGCGAGCTGAAATTTTACGAAATCACCACCCAGGAAGATCTTGCCGCCTCACACTTGATGTACATCACGCCGGGCTACTGAATGGTTGAAAATGTAATCTGTGTCATTATGGAAGAAGAAAAAGCGGATCTAGCTCATGCTGTAGCCTACGCGGCTGAAAAGCATCCCGTCCGTCCATCAAACGCCACCATGCTGTGCCAGTCCCGGAACGCCAAATCTTTTTGTCGTGTCACACACTCCATGAACATGCCCCCGCCCTCCCTTGCCCATCCTGCCTGTGCCACGTTATGCGTTGAGAGTTCAGATGCCGGTCTTCGGCTTTTGCGGTAGCGTCGCCGGGTTGCCGTAATGAGGGAGATGACTGAACGTCTGCCCTGCCGGCCCCTGGGGTGCCACAGGCTTGTTGGGAATGTGGTGCTGGATCGGGTTTTGCACAACGGCCTGGTGCGGAGGTTGCGGGGGGATGTACGGCACGCCAGGACTAGACTGCATCATGTGTTGGGGGTGCTGAGGGTGCTGGGGAGGCGGGGCATGGTACAAGGGCGCCGAGTTGTTAGATCCTTGCCGAGCCATACCATAGCCAGCCGGTCCGCCGTAGGGACCGGGAGGCCCTGGCTGCTGATAGCCGACATACGACAGATGCGGCGAGCCGATTTGAGGACTGTTGTGGTGCGATCCAGGAGCACTGAACGATGGCTGCGGTTGCTGCATGGAGGCCATTCCCCCGCCGGGTACAAATGACTGCGTCTTGGGGTTGAAGGCATGCCGGTTGTAGCTTCCGGGGATTGGGTGCTGGCTCTTCGGGTCGTTCGGGTTCATGTGAGCTGGAAGTTGGCCATAAGCATATGGAACTCCAGAGGATGCCGACATGCCTCTTGGTGAGTAAGACGCAGGATTTGGGGCTGCGGCCGGCATGGGCGCAGGCGCCGGTGCCGGCACCATCGGTGGTGCTGGGCCGCCGTTGAATCCTTGCTGCCAACCCGGCTGCGTAGGCACAGACACTGGCACAGGCGCACCATAACTCGACAAGTTAGGGCTCGGCAGCATCTGAGGCCTATGTTGAGTGGGCTGCATTGGTGGCGGGGGTGGTGGTGGCGGTGGTGGCGGCTGCTGAGCCTGCGGCGCTGGCGGTTGGGCTTGGTACTGCTTACGGGACGGCGTCAGTGGGGATGGGCAAGATATGTCGTCGACTCAAGGTCTGACTTACCGGTGCCATGTTGGGATATGCAGGGTACCCGGAGTGCACAGCAGGTGGCGGATACGCCTGGCCTGGCGCCGTATACGCAGTCTGCATCTGATTCACATATGTCGGCGGCATGGGTGCTGGGTACTGGGAGCCAGGATGAGGGGAGAACTGCGGCTGTTGTACCCAGGATTGCTGAGGGCCGAATGGGCCGTATAAATGCCTCGAATCGAGACTGTCCGAATCATCTCGCCTCTGCTTATTGACCTTGCCCCTCTTAGCCCCGCTGGCTCTGTCTTTGGCAGAAACGGAGCTGGCGCGAGACATTCCATTCTCAGCCTCATTATCTACTGACAGGTTAATGATACAAAGTCTACGTGAGAGCTACGAAGGATCTTACCGGGCGTTGACTCTCCCGTCTTCTCCGAGTTGCCAAAGATGCGCTCACGAGCCTGCTTGTATGCTTCTTCGCGCTGTTCTCTGGAAAGCCTACACAATACGGTCAGCAAAATGGATACATGCCAGAAAGGGGGAGGCGAACGCACTTTTGGTTGGCAAGGGCGGACTTCTCTTTCCCATCGCTACCGTCTTCCGATGTGACCTTGTAGACCGCGCCGCTGACGGTACCAGATTCGACATCCTCTCCGCGTCTCATGATTTTTCGGGGTAACATGACAGGAGGAGGCGTCTCGCTCAAGGGCTCTGGAACACCAATGCTGGCCAAAGACTCAGGCACCCTAGCGTACGGTGTCCTGAATATGCGTACTGAGCCGATTCGAGGCTCATACTGATGCGTCATGTGGTAGTAATCAGCCAATTTGTGGGTTAACATCCTACAAAACGAGTTGGAAGGCGGAAAATCCATGAACGGTTCTCTGGAGAAGTGTGAGCACCAAAAAAAGTATCATCTGGGATATGGAATTCTTACTTTGAGTTCTGTACGAACTTGATGAGTTCAGCTTCAAGCCTCAATAGAAAAAGACGATCCTTCTGGGAGGACATGGCTTCCAGGAGCTTCTCGTCAGGCGACTGTCCGTGAACTGCATTCATGTAGTTGGACAGATCACTTGTCAAGTTTGCGGCGGGAACCTGAGGGGGGTCGGACGTGGCACTTTGGGGTGTGACGACGCCTTGGCTCACCGAGCCAGAGACGACTTGGGGGGCTCTCCTCTCAGTGGCAACGTGGTCGCCGATCTGAAGCCCTTTGGCCCGCGCTGCAAGATCAGACCCCATTCGAGAATTGGGAAGGAAGGGGCCTCGGAAGGAAAAGGAGTCGTCATCTTCTGCTGCAGCTGCCTTGACGCTGGCACTGTCGTCAGGTCGAAGTGACTCCTTTTCATCAAGGGCAAAGGTAGTTCCCGAAGTGATGCTCTTGCCGTCCAGACTAGCCGGCTTGGTGCCGAGCTCTGAGTTGGAGTCGGCGCGCTGCGACTCATCCGAGCCATCTTTGATTGCAGACTTGAAACGGTCGATGGGATGCGAGCCGCTGCCATTCACAACCAAGCTGGGAGTCCTAGCTCCGAACTGTACGTCTTTGAGGCCATTTGCGACAGGGTCATGGGCGAGGGGCTTCATTGGGGACCCAAGCTCCGGTGCCAGGCCTACATTTTTGGAGCCGGCTTCGGTAGTTGAGCAACTCCCATTCGCAACAGTATCATGGGCATTGGTCGTTGTGGCGGTATCGGCCTGCTTGGTCATGGGGTGGGCCTGTTCTTGGCCAAGAGGAGCGGCGGGTCGACGGGCTGAGGTGAGGGGCGCGTTTTCTTTCGAAGCAGTCGCTGCGATCTATACGCAAAACAGTCCAAGTCAGCACAAGCTCATGAGCGAGGGCCTGATGACCCAGGTTTCCGGACACGCAGTGCTCGAGCTTACCTTCGCAAATGATGGCTTTTGAAGGCCAGGGGAAACCTGCGTGGTCTCCATTATGGGGCCTAGGTGGTGGTTGTGTCTGCGGCGAGTCGTATGTGGGTTGTTGGCCAGGACGTGACTGCTTGCTCGAGCAGACGGTCTTGCAAAGCGAATCGAAGGACGTGGTCCCAGAAGGAGGGGGTCGAAAGACAAGATCCGAAATCAAGCACACAACTGGATCGAGGCAGACATGCGGTACGAGAGGGAGGTTCCGTGAATCATTGTCGAGAGAACAAGGTCATGATCGCCAGCGTGGTTCAATGGCAATACCGATGCCGGGTGCTGTTTCGCGCCAACAGCGGGTTGATCGCCTGGTGCTTCGCAAGCCAAGTAGGTTGTCTGCCCGCGACCGTCAGCAAGGATACCAGTGGGCGCGATACAGAATGCTGCCAAGAGGGGACGAAAGAAAGAATGTGGGCGCACAAGAACTGGAACAAGGCGACCAGAAGAGGAGAGCTGAGGGAAGACACAGCTTGTCGCAGGAGGACGGGGTGCAGGTCGTGGACCAGGCCGCCCGAGCACAAACTCCGACAAGCTTGGATGATGGGGGGGGGGGGGCAGAATAAAAAGAGCGGCTGTGACTTACCCTAAAGTAGTTGTCTCTCAGTTGGTCGCAGCAGTAATGAATGGTCTGTTCAAGATGGCACAATGAGAATGTATGCGTCGGTTGCGTATATGAGGGATGATGGGGTCAAGCAGGCGCCATTCCCGTACGTTGCTGCAGCCGCAATGTCCCGTGGTACGGCAGGCTGAGGTTGCAGGCGACAGGCGACAGGCGAGGTCAGAATTTCTGGTGAGGACCGAGCAGTATAGTGGATGAAGATGGATGTCCCTCCGCACCTGGTTGGTGAGAGACATTAGGACTGAGGGACCCAGCCCACCGCCAGCCTCATGCGGCTTAGCGTCGGTAGATTCTGTGGCGGTGCATGCTCGTCGGACACGTTGAGCCACAGAAGCCTGCCTCACCTCTTCTCGAGGCAAGAAAGAACCAAGGCAAAAAATGGTGGTGCTACTGCCTGCCTGTATCCTCGTTCGACTTGAATCCGATGACATGACAGAGGCCGACACAAACTGCAGTCTCCCACACTACCAACCAAAAGTCACTTTACTTGATACTCACCCACACTTGTCAGCTGCCCCGTTTTGAGGCTTCCTGAACACAGTAGACATCGCATCGGTCGACTCTCAGACGCAATTCATTCTCGTTCTCAAACGACACCTACGACACCAGGCCACACAGCCGACGGCGCGATAGATATTCACCATGTACAGACGCCCGCCAGGACCACGCCCATCAACTCCCGCCAATGTTTGCTGTCAAAAGTGCCTCAAACGAGATAAGTCCTTATATACCCTTCGTCTTGGGCCAAAAACTGACTCCCGTAGCACGACACTACTCTTACGAATGCAAAGAGCCAGCCCAAGCCAGACCTTATGTTCCAAGGCCATCGCGCACACAGCAACTCCGTGATCCCAAGCTTCTCCCCAAACTGACCGAGGCAACCCCGAATGAAGCTGAGAACAAGTAAGCATCGTGAATCTTGCATGAATAAATGCTGAAGCTAACATCCGTGGCAGAAAAGGCATCGCAGATGCGGAGCTGGCCAAGAGGGAGGCTGAGCGGGAGCGTCAGCGGGCGCTTGAGGCACGCGATGCGGACTCGGGTGATGAGCAGCCTCGCCGTCGCAATCGCTCAGCGTCGATTGACTCGGTCTCCGCCATATCCACGGACCGTTCAGCTTCACCGCCACCTAGGAGGCGATCGCCCTCCCCAGTAGCGTCCAGACGGAGGCATCGGTCTCGAGACGCTACGCTCGATCACCGCCGTTCTCCGAGTCCTGGGAGCGACAATGGACAGCATGCGCCACACCGTCAGAAGCCGGCCCAGCGCTCTAGGTCACAATCAGAGGCACGATCACAATCACCACCCAGGCACAGGAGAAGGTCGTTTTCAAGGGATAGTCGTTCACCTCCTGCGAGACAAGACCGCAGATACCGCGAAAGGGACTCGGACCGGCCGACCACAAGTGAGCGAACGAGGCGTGATCGTCGGTCTCCGTCGAACTCACCTCCGCGAGTCCACCAGGGTGATCGTAGGAGGTCACCAGTTCCTCGTTCGAGTTGGAACACGCGCATGGACGCCATAGATGCACAGCCAAAGCAACAACGTGTGCCTCAGGGAGCCCCGCGGGAGCGAAGCCTCAGCCCCTTCAGTCAACGACTCGCCCTGACGAAAGCAATGAATGATGGGAGGTAGAGTAAGCAAAGACCACAGAGGAGTCGTCGAGACTGATGCCAATTATTACTCTGGGTTGAGCGCTTTGCTTTTATCTACTGAGTAGAGCCCATGCGTGTCCCATTCATTTCATGGTAGTGCCGCTGGATATCCCATCAGCCCATTCGAGCTCCCGTCTCACCTTGCTCATATATGTATGTTCTGCAAATCTGAATGTTGTTCAACCAAACACGGGTCGCAAAAGCGGCCCAAGAAATGAACAATGGGATAAAAGTGTGCGGTCCAGCTTTCGAGCTACATAGCCAGTTGATTCGAGGTTTGTACAATCCCTTCGCCAAATAAGGCCCCTTATGGCGAAAGATAGGACAAGTTGTCAAGGCACGGGATGGCTCAGTGTACCTTAGTTACATTGTGCAATTGATCGTGGATGAGGTTCCTGAAATGTGAAATGGAATCAATGCTGCGAAACGATTCAAACACATTTGACGAGTTTCAATTGCTCGGATACTGGCCCTCAAGAGGTGTCAGGTAAGGGTATCATGATGTGTAGACTTCGTCCAGCCTCAAGGTCAGCCGTCCCATCCAGTCGCAAGATCATACATCCGTTTCGTCAGCCTCCCTCTCCCTACGCTCCTCTTCCTCCTCTTCTCGCTCTCGAACGCGCACTCCTTCCACCAATGCGATGCCGTCAATTCCCGTCGCATCGCCTTCCGCGCCCTCCACTCCGGCTTCTTTGGACTTGATTTCGGCCTTTTGTGCGTTTGCGATCCTCTCTCGTACCAGCTTGGCGATGGCGTTGTCTGTTCTCACATTGAGTATTTCCAACTTTTTGTCCAGATCCCTCTTCAGGTCCCAGTTCGGCTTTTTTGGTTGGAGTTTAAACAGGTCGATTCCCTTGTCGTCAGCCGCGTCTTCGGCCGCTTTGCGCTTCACTTCTGCCTCGACCTCCGCTGCCTGCTCCTCCAGCGTCGGCTTGTCGAGGTCTTGTATCGGCGGTGCCTCGAAACCGAGCTTTGGTCCGCGGGTTTCGGGGTCATAGTTGCGTCCGGACAGGTGCAGTTTGGCGACGTCGGGTTCTTCTGGTGGTGCCGACGAGCGTTCGGACTCTGGGGCGGCGACTTCGTCGATGGGCTGCTTCCTCTTCAGGTTCTTGAACTTGGCGAGTCGCGCTTTGCGGTCGTCGGCCGCTGCGCTGAGGCTGGTGTGCGAACTGGACATGATGTTGTGCTTTCCTCCCTCGTCCTCCGTATCTGCTTGATTGACTTGCGAGCTCGATCGTATGGGTGTGAGCTGTCCGTGGAGCTGTGAATTGTTTCGTGCTCGTTGCTTGCGATGAAATCAGAGGTGGTCGATGGTGGGGCTGGGATTTTCACCAGCCACGGCAGGGATCTTCATTTACCTACCAGGTACCTCAGCCCAAGCGCGTTGATCCATCCCAGACGCGGCTATAGGCCAGTGACGCAGCAGGGGCTCGACTGGGTTGGATGGTAACCTCTAATGCCATCGATAATTCAACATCGCCAAATTTTCTCCAAACCATCCGCCACGCGACACCAAACGGCGACGACGCACCACCCACCATGTATTTTTAGCCGACTCCGACTATTCATTCATTGCCCATGATGCGGCCTGGATTCATTTGCAGATCCTGCCTTACCCGTCTGGCCCACGACTTGGTGCCTCGGGCTCGCACTTCACCCTACAACGCTCTCTCTCAGGCCCAGCATACTGTGTTCCAAGCTGCCAGCCATACAACGCCGCGAGCAGCTTTCAGCCATCAAAGGAGAGAAGTCGGAACATGGGCGGAGATTGCAGACGCCGACATCTTATTAGAGGACGACCGAAGCACTTCTAGTGCGACAAGAGCCAGTCCTCGCCGAAGATCGTCTCAGCAGACGGACTTGGCGACAGAACCTGTTTCCAGCGGAAAGCTTCGTCACGACGCAAATGGATCATCTGGTCAGTTGCAAAATGGCAGGGGGCGACCGACCAGGAAGCACCGACCTCAGAGACGCCACCCGATGTACGATCACAATATCCAGAGACTGAACGACTCAGAAGTTGAAGAATTTCTTGATTGGAAGAACAAGGTGCGGCATGGACTGCTGAAAAGGGTTCAGAGGGCGGGTTGGAAGCCCTCGGAGGACCGAATGATTCGCAAACTCAAATGGTTGCTGGAGCACGATACGGTCGAGTCCATGTCAGCAGCATGGGAGTCGCTAGATCTCGATCGACGAAAGCGCATCTGGCCCAACATAATCGGTTCAGCCTTGGTATCTTGTCCAGAAAAGGCCAAGATGGTCCTGGAGTCTACGATGAAACCGCTCCCGCCCGGGTACGCCGTCCAGGATACGCTGAACTTCCTTGCCATCTGGCAGCATTCGCTACCCTCAGACGAAGCTGTAGCCCATTCCGAAGCTCTCGCCGATGCCGTCATGCGTTTCCTCCGACTCTACCGGCACCGTGATGACGCCCGGCTCAGTCTGCGACAGAACACTGTCTTCCACATGATGACTCGACTAGGGGTCAACAAGCTGGAAGAGCTCTACACCTGCTTGGTAGATCATTCTGTGCCTCTTCATCCAAACACCCTGTTGCATTTTGCAGATCGGTTTGCGAAAGACGCGAAGCGTAAGGAACTGGCACTCCAAATCACCATCGCCGCCGTAGCAGCCGGTGGTGCCAATCTCGGCTCGCCTCAGTGGCTGAGTCTCTGTACTTCAATTCTTTCTCCTGCGCCCGGCGAAGGAGACGATTCGCGGATAGCCTCTGCAGTAGACGCTTTTGAGGAGCTGCTGCAGCACGGCCTCACCCCGAACCTTATCAACTACACTGCGCTTGTGCGTGCACTGTGTCTACAGGGTAACCTTGAGACGGCGTGGGATGTTGTTGGCATCATTCAGCGCCACAACATCGACCCTGACGTTGTGTTGCTATCGACGCTCATTGAAGGAGCGAAGCGGCATTTGGGAGCATTCGAGCACATTGACCGCGTCACCGAGCTCGCTGTCAAGCACAAGGCTTTTGATGCGCCGTTCTGGAACGGGATTTTCTGGACCATTTTTGGTTCAGCAGAGGCAACCGCCGCGCGCATTACGCCGATCCCACACATTGTGCCAGCCTTCAAACCGATGCTGTACTTCTACTCCAAGATCTTCCACATCGAGCCCCTCCAGCATCTTATTCCTGTCAATCTGGCCGACCTGGCTGAGTCCTGTCGCCCGGAAATGTCCGAGCAGTGGCAGATGACCAGTCGCATATTCGCAGGCCTCGATGCCGTCGCAGCAGAAGTGACTGAGAAGCTTCACCCGACAGGTGCAACTCTCGGTATCATGTACATGGCCTACGTGCGCAGCTTGTCGCAGGCGTCGAGCGTGTTATCGGCGTACTCGTTCATCCGCCAGGTCGTCCGAAAGGGGGATCCTGTTGTCATGAGGTTCATCGAGGACAAGAAGACATTCTTGTACGACGTCATCATCAAGACTCTGAGCGCGCATCCGGGCATGCTGCGGGCCGCGCTCGATATTGTTGGCGACATGCTCAAAGCAAACTTTGACGACAAGGCGCAGCCGACGGTCCACACAGGCGATGTCGCGGGGACCGGCCTCAGGAGGAAGAAGGGCGTTCATCCCATTCCCAGCGAGTACACGTGGAACATTCTCCTGCGGGGCTTCATCATGCAGAAGGAAGACGCGTCGAGCGAGCGCATCCTGCAAATGATGAAACAGCACGGCGTCAAACCCAACCTCGTCACCTGGAACACGATGCTCAGCGGCTACGCGCGTCTGCAAAACGTCAGCAAGGCCATCACGACCCTGCAAAGAATGGAGGCAGACGGCCACGAGACGAACGAGTACACGATGCGGGCGTTTGCGAAACTCGCCCGGAAAGACGGCGCTCTGAAGAAGATTGAGGAGGCCATTGGCCGCAACCAGAAGCGGCGGGACGAATTTCCGCCTCGCGTCGACGACGTGGCGGATCTGGAAGACTTTTAACGCCTGCAGCATGAGGCACCCTCGGGGCTTATGAGGGAACTAGCTCCTCAGATAATGTACCACTATTCCACTCATGCTTGCGTACAAATCGTCGTGAAACCTGAAGCCTTCCACGCTCTGCTTGGGCACCCCTTACTGACCACTTTTCCGTTCCAAAGCCAGACCACATGCGCGCATCCCGCGTCGACCTGGCCTCACAATTCAAAGCACCATCTCAAAATGAACTACATTGACCGACTCAACAGCATCGCCCCTCCGACGCGCACTCCCCCCAGGCAAAGAGGCCGCCGCCTCGGAAACACAAGGGCCCATCCGCGACCTCGGCCAAGGACCGCGCGCCTGCACCACCATGTAACCCGTAGAAGGCCCGCGACGTGAAGCCAGCCCTGGCCATCGACCGTCCTGGCCGCCTCGTGTTCCCGGCCGACCACGCAGAGCAGACGGGGGCCTTGGCCGGCGGACAGTGGCGAGCTGGCTTTCTCCCTTGCTGCACATTCGCTAACCACCCGTTGTCTTGTGCGCGAGGTCAACGGGTCTTTGGCCCGAGCCAGTTGGAGTACCTGCTCAGCTTTCTTCCTCGCCACTCCGCAGCGGCGGGCCGCATAGCGCCCCCAGGATTCGGCCATCACCAGGGTTCAAACAGTGTGACTCTCGGAGCAGCAGAGCCGTCAGCAAGAAAGAGGGGCACGGTTCAACAGGACCACATGAGCCAGCTTCAGAACACATATACATTCGATTCTGTACGCAGAGCCGACCGACAGGCTGCCAGAGCCAGCGGGACTACACCGTGTAAAAGGCCACAATATTCTCCTCCCTTCGACCCGATTGCTCACTGGTACCGCAGCGCACAGCGTTAATATCCAGGCCAACTAAACAGCTACCAACTTCCTCCAGCCTTGTCTCTCATGTCCTCCAACGACGCTGGCGAAATCGCTCCAAGATTAAAAACAAAAACAATGCTTTTTTCTTCATCGTACAAAATCATGCATTACAAGCTGGGTATCATGGCCAAAGCAGGTATAAGGAGAAAGCAGAAACGGAACCCTTGGCACATCTGTGCTGTGCTCTCGGGATGCCATTGCATTATGACGAAATGCCACGAAGAACGCGAGCCGGATTGCCTACGACTATGGTGAAAGGGGGAACATCCTGAAAGAGACAAGTCAGCATGGATTGCTAGGAGAGGTGTGTCTTGTCGGTATCTTACCTTGGTGACAATAGACCCCGCGCCGACGGTGCTTCCTTTGCCAATCGTCCTGCCAGGAAGAATAATAGCGCCACCACCAATCCAGCAGTCTTGCTCGATGGTAATGGCACGCCCAAGCTGTGGTCCCTTGCTGCCCATGCGCCTCTTGGGGTCAATGGGCAGCGTGGCGGTGTAAATACTGACATTCGGTCCGATGTGACAGTTGTCGCCAATCTTGACTTCGCACGTGTCAATGATGGTACAGTTGCGACCAACAATGGCATTCTGTCCGATTGTAATGTTGTAGCCGTAGTCACAGTTGAACGGCGCCTCAACGACAACATTCTCGCCAACGCGGCCAATGTTCGTCACCGGAGATGCCACCGAGGGCGAAATCTGGATGGGATCGCGTGGCTGCAGGATTTCGCGGAATAGACGGGCACGCTCGATGGGCGAGACGCCGTTGTTCGGATTCGTCGAGTTGTTGAACCGCCAGCATGCTGCGCTGCACCGCTCTCGCTCCAAAACGAGCTCCTTATCGAATGGGTAATAGTGTCTGCCCGAAAGCATCTCTTCCTTCTGCGTCCTCTGTCTGCTGCCCGCATATTGCGTGTGGGACAAAGCCAGCTGAGCCGCGACCTGTGCGTTGCTCGTGGAGGGTGGCGGGGCGGGGCTGTTGGCACGGGTCGGATGGAGAATGTTGATCTGGGGAAGAGTGTTGCCCGGATGAGGGGTTTCGGGCTCGCTCCGGCCCATGTCGTGCAGAGGCGGTACGCGCGGCGCCTGAAACTCCTTCCTCTCCGAGAAGCCACTCTGCTGCGAAGGGGCTTGGGCGCTGACAGGCGTTGGGAACACATTGGCCGGTGTGTATGGAAGGGCCGAAAGCTTGAGATCCGGGCTCGCGACGGAGGCGCTGGGGATCGTCGAGGCAGTGGCCCTGTCATCATCGGTCAGGATGGGCCGTCCCTGGGGAGGATCAATTCGTAACGGCTGGCCTCGGCCATAGGGAGGAAGAGGATCCCGACGAGGCGTGACAGTTGGCTGGCTCCCATAAGGGTTCTGTTGCGGCATGCCATACGCGCCTGGAGGTACGTAGCTGGGGTCTTTGGATTCCAGCGGAACGGCGGCAGCTTTGTTGTCTGGCTTCTGCCAGCCCGTACTCCTCTGTGGAGGGTAGCCTGCGCAGAGGAAGCCACCACGGATGCAGTTGATGCCTGTTGCAAGGGTCAGCAGGCGGCCATTGCCAGTCTGGGTACGGCGACTTACATTCGGGCTTCTGCTCGTCGCACTTCTTTTTGCGCTTACGACAGGTGAGACAGCCAGTCTTGGTGCGATTGCTAAAGTTTCGTTTGCGCTTCTTGGGATCTGACTGCAGAACGTGGTCGCGCGAGCCGCCAGGAGTGTAGGGTCCGTATACGCTCATGGAGCGTTCATGGTCATCACCTTCCGGGCTGTTGCCATAGTCGCTGTGGTTATCCACCTGACCTGTCACCCTTCGTAGGGCATCGCCAATCTGCTCTTCCGTCTGGCCTTGGGTGGTTGAGGCCGAATGCTGGTTGTCGTAGTAGCCTCTTTCGTCACGTCCTTCTCGGGAGTACCATGGATCATTGGGATCTCGACTGTCTTCGGCGTACTGACGGTGTTCGCGCTCACGTTGTGGCGTGCCATACGCTTCACGCGACTCTGGCGGGTGTGGTTGTGTTGCTGTGTCTGGGGTTCTCTCCTGGATGGGTTGCGACTGGGGTTCCCTCTCCCGGCGAGGCTCGGATGAGTCGGATCTTTTTCTCTTGTGAGAACCCTCAACATCTGGGTAGGACGCAGACTGAAAACTTGGCCTGTCGTGGGCAGGGGCAGGCCAAGCATCCCGTTGACTGCTGGCAACTTCGCTCGACGGGGGTTTAGGAGAAGGCTGGGAAGTGGATTGCGCAGTTGGCCGCTCTTCTGGAGGCGTCTTCCGAGACTCTGGCGCCGGCGGTTCTGTTGCCTTTGGCGACCCCCCATTCAGGGCCGTGAACGCAGACATGGTGTCTGGGCGAGGAGTACGCGATGGTGCTATGTTTACTGTGAATCGCAATCAAGAATAAATATAAAAAAGGAGAGCAATTGGTGGAACTTTGACGTGATGCGGCGTATGAGACGCGATTGTCAGTGAGTTGATTACGCGCCGAGATGAGTGAGACGGCTTTTGCGCGTCACTGGTACTTTCTCAGTCGAAGATTCGGGCCGAGAGGCAGGCAGCGAGTGGTCTCTGGCGAGCTGCTGCAACGTAGGACCAGTGGTACAAGCTAGGTGCGGCAAACGGTGCTCGGCAAATGGCGCAGGTAGGAAAAGCTGCGAGAAACGAGATGACGATCGCGAGTCTAAAACGCGACGTAGCTGGATCGGCCTGGGTCAGTATCTGGGGAGGGTGGCCTTTGTTCCGATTCAAGGTTTTGCGCGCGCGTCGAGAAAGCGGGTGGGGTTCCGCGGCTTTTGAACGAAGGGCCCTCGTCAAGCTGAAGTGGCCAGCTGCCGGCCAGCGACGTATTGCGACTTGCGGCCTGCAACTAAACGTGCGCTGTCGCAACCCTGGTTGAGGCTGGACAAATGGCGTTCAGCAACACTGAGAGGCTGTGCTCCTTCACAATCGAGGAGAAAGGTTGCGATGCGGGGGGCGTGGCGCTGAGGCAATGCCAGAGCGGATGTGCAATGGCAGCTGGGCACACACAAGGTCTGCCAGGCTGGACCCTTTTGGGGGACTGGCTCTGAAGACGATACACGCCCAGGATGGCCCGTCTACTGTACGGCGCCTGGCGTGCGGGCTTGCTGTTGAGACCAGAGAATGGTCGAGAGCCAGGGAAGGCGAAAAGATGGAGGAGAGCTTGAACTTGGGTGGCTGAACTGCCGATGCGCCAGCGGCCTGTTTTTTATGCTTCTCCCTTTGGTTTCAGAGCGCGCCAAATCAAGTCGAGGCGAAGCCGATGGACGCGCGTGTTTGTCGTGAGTGACTGAACAGGCGGGTTGAGAGAGAGAGAGAGCAGATGCCGAGAAGTTGAGGTGCGCAGGGAAAGAGGGCGGGCGCGCTTGATGGGGAGAGGATCTTTTTGACGCGCGATTATGCTGCGCCTGTTTGCGAGGAGAGGGGGGGAAATAGATGGATGCTGGGGAGGCTGTTTGCCGAAGAAGATCTGGACCGACGGGGCTGCGGGATGGCAAGGAAGGTGTGCAACGTGCGTTTATCGACTCGTCCCCAGTCCCATGACGAAGCCAGCTTTCGATTCGGCCAAAGCTGGGCGTGTGCGTGCAACTAAGCGTGTAAGTTGCGTCAGTGAGAGAAGAGAAGGTGGTTTTGGTGTTTTGGTCTGGCCGGTCGTGGTCTCGATGCGAAGCAAACCCAAGCGAGGCCTAGAGAGGTGAGGTGAGGTGAGGTAAGGAAGGCGAGGTACGACGGGATACGCTGCTGCGTAAGTGAGCGGGTGAGTGGGTAATATGAACGTCTGGGTGCAAGAGAGGTGGGCGTGGAGGAGCAGAGGGCGTGTGTTGAGAGATGCGCAGATGCAGATGGAGATGGACATGGGGCATGGGGCATGGGCCATGGGCCATGGGCCATGGAGATGGACTTGGATGGACATGGATGGACACGGGCATGGGCGGTGGATGGGCGACGAGCCTGTCAATAATGGTACTCATTCTGACGGTTCATCATGGTCACAGTCAGTCACGACCGAACCGTCACAGTCAAGGCCAGAGTCAGGCAAGAGGGCTCAGGTTAGAGGGCTCAGGCCAGAGAAGTCAGGCCAGAGGGAAGGGCCTGGACTGGAACTGAGTGTACCCGGAAGCTAGCGAGCATCAAGGTACGCGCATGGCAAGTGCGGCAGCGGTGACGGTAAGGTACGTAGGGCAGGCAATCCTGAGCAGTCAAAGTGCGAGCCGACGTAAGATCAGAATGGGAGGCACAAGCAGCGAGCAAGCAGGTGAGGGAAGGAAAGGACAAGTGAGGATCCCCCTCCCCCCCATGGCACGGGAAGGCGTCGGCGTATCACTGCGGCCCACGACCATGATCGTGGTGGTCGTGGATGATGGAAGCGGCACCGCCGTCGTGCGCGGGAAGATACAGGGGGGGGTGTGGGAAGGGGAAGAGGGGGGGCAGCAGGGGAGGATGGGCTGCTCAATGGAAGTACCTACTGCTTCACGACCTCCTCCCGCTAACGGGATTCTCAGACGAACGAAGTACGTACCTGTCTATCAAGCCCGTCCCAACCCCTGTCTGGTCCCCTCGCTCCTTCTTCCTCGCCTTCACATGTACATGTACCGAAAACAATTGTGCAGTCCAGGTGCTGCCCACTGGCCGCGCCTGCCTACAGTACACGTACCTGTAGTCGATTGTCGCTATCCGCTTCCGCGACTGCTGCCGTGACCTGACTACTCCTCTCCCCTCGTTCCATCCTTCCTCTCGCTCGTGGCCACTCACTGGGCAGAAAAGCGCGCCTTGGCAACATCAACATCGATCCGTCTCTGCCCCAATTCAGCTCTCATTCTTTTCCTCTCGCGCGTGCGCTCGCCGTCACTGAGACAGACGCCAACAACGATACACAGTGAGAAGTCCCGCCATACGAGTCGTTGCTCACTCTCGCATCTGCCCAATTTGCCATTACGTGCCAAGCAACAATCGAAGGGCCGAGTACGACGTCTGTCTTCCCGAGGAGGACCCCTCTCTCCCGCGCATCCCGTCAAACCCACCACCCCGCGCGCGCGCGTGTCAGCGCAAGCGTCTCCAACGCCAGGCCATCTCGAGGTTCCATTCGGTCGCTGCTCTGCCAGCATGATTTTTTCGAGACGCGCTCGCCGATATGGCCATCATTTCACTGGTGGCTGGGCCGACCAGCTTGGTAAATGGTCCATGGGGGGGGGATCAGCCAAGACATGAGGGTGTGGTCCCAGCCGTACCTTGTCAGTGGATTCGCCTGACATGGGCTGTGGGCGTGGGCGTGGGAGTGGGCGTCGTCCAGCCGACACGCCCCCCCTTCCCCTGTCGCCCCGTCGTGTACCTGGCAGCAGAGACGCTACCCGCCAGAATGAACACCCCCGAGTCGGTGTACAATGCAATATGCTGTACCACCCAAACAATCGAACCTGGCTATGAGGGCCAACGCGCTAGCCTGCCTCATGACCTTCGCCGTCGCAACTCCTGCCTCTCCTCCATTCGCTCTTTTCCTCTCGGTTGTATCTCGAGCTTCGGGGTAGACTATTTTCTAAGTCGACATACATGGTCCACCATCGTCTCGGCCCTGCCTGGCGGCGTGACCCTGCTTGCCTTACAGTTGCATTCGTCTCCGCGCGCAGTATTTTTGGCCCCCCTCCCCGCCCGCTACCGCCGCCGCTAGATGTGTGGAGCCCGGCCGACAAATCTCCAAATTTGGGGGCAGCAAACAAGCGACCCGACCGGCCGACCCGTAACGCAGAGCCGCCGTCGACTTTGTCCGAGCAGAAGGGTGTCCTCAAGGTGCGACACGAATCGAGGGCGAACAGGAGGACAAACATGAGAAACGGCTCCTCTACCTGGATGCAGCAAGCCTATCTCTCGCCCCTGCTTTGTGTGGTCCCGCTCGCCCGACAGACTCGGCTTGGTGTGCCCTTGACAGCATACCTGCCTCGCTTCTGCTGCGCTTGTGCCACCTCGACAGTACACTGTTCGTCAACTCTCGCCTAATAAGACACCTGGTGCGCGGCAATGCCATATGGTGTGACTTCGGCGTCGCCATCAAAGTACCCGGTGGCAGCCTCTCGGTCACAAGAACCTGCGGGGTGTCATGGAAAAGGAATGTTCGAAGCTGAGGGTCCAAAAGTCGTCACCCAGCAAAGCGATGGCCCAGTGCAGAATGGGCGGCGGCCGGCGCAGCGGCGGGTCCCCCCCAAGCAATCAACTTGATGCTGGCGTCTATGGCATTGAGGGTTCCGAGCTGGTAGTGGCTGGCACGGCCTCCGAGCCAATTGAATCTGACTGACAAGGGCTAACGTGTGTCATGCAATCTGGCGCGGGAGCCTGGCTACGTACCCAACACGCCGCGCGCCCTGCTCTGGCCATGGGGCTTGTACCCGCGTTTAACAGTGCTCCGTTAACCCCAAAGTGTTGAGCTAACAGGCCTGGCGCGCCTCGTATTTTATTTTCTCGCGGGCGTCCCTGACTTGCCGAAACCACAGCCGCCACTGGAAATGGCAACGCGCGGCAGTGCAGACGATCCCGCCCTTCATCAGGATATGGCGAAACACTTTACATTCACCGGAGGAAAAACAAACTGCGAGCCGAAAACCAACAAGCCCATGATGACCTTGTGGTGCTGAGTTGACTTCTTTCTCGGCCTCGTTCAACTCTTGAGGTCAGATGTCGCTCAAGCAGGGGCTTAAGAGGCGTACCAGTGTCATCGCAACCTGCAGCGAATGTGGGTAGACTCTACCTTGAACGGATAACGAGTCGCGGCGTAGGCACTCCGTTCTCATCACCACGGGGGCACTGGCACTACGACGTTGCCGGCACTTCGGGCGAATGCGTCGCAGTCCAGCTGCAGGACGCCAAACCTCCCACACCTCACCACTTCCAATCTTCGCCTGCCGCTGCACGACCTGGTCGCATGAAACCATTCGGACGCCAATATCCTGGCACGCTCCGCGTGCTGCTGCATGGGAAGCCGGCCATGATTATTTTTAGACGTGCGACCCTGATCGATCCGAACATGCTTTCGCTGGAGAAGCTCGATTTCCCCAGCTCTACTAGGCGAGCGGGACCAACCCGGGTCAATGTTGCCAATCACTACTGCCTGAACACTGGGTCCAAACCTCATCCGCCAAGATGGAAATCTGGTCATCTTGGTGGGTATGGGTATGACTGCGCCCAACGGTCTTCGGGGAGCGCGACAAGCTCGAACAGGGTGTGCATAACCGCAGACTCCAAGGCCCCAAAAAAAAATCCAGCACTTCAGCTCGTTGGGCGAATGCACCTGATCAGCCATGCTCGTAATCGTCTTGGCTTGGTGGAAAGAAGTTGGCTTCCCTCGAAACGTCCGCGGCTGAACCGAAAGACGGTTGACAGGAACGATCGATCCTATTGGATCACTCAATTGCGACTCTTGGCCAATGAGGAGGAGCAGAAGACCTAGTCGCTCGTCAACCCATGGCCAAGCGCCGGGCGAGGCAGAGCGGCAAATTTTCCCTTTTCCCTCTCCTCCTTGATCCCTCCCCTCCACATCGCCGCGACTATCTCAGTTCGTTGTCTAGTATGCTGTGAAGGGTGCTGAGAGGATGAAATCAACCCCTCGCAGCTGATCAAGCTGAGGAGGCTGTCATCCCTCCATATGGTTGACAGCAGTGTGACGAAAGACGCATGCTTGCCGTAGCAAGTGATGCGGCTGTCGTCAAATTCCCTGCACAAGTGCTGACTTGTCACGTCCGCCTTGCGGGGGGTCCAGCCACCATTGGCGTGGCTTTGTGCTCCGACGAACGGTGGTGTGGTGAGTGGTCAAGCTCGCGGCTCCTAGGTCCACTGCCACTTCATCATCCGAAACGGGCAGTCGACTCGCAGCCGCAGGCAGGCCCCGTGGATACCCGTGCCGGAAAGGACTTGGCTGGGGCAGAACAAAACGACTTTGACGGGTAGGATGAACTCGAGGGCTCTGCTGCGGGTTTACGACGCTATCGTGCAATGTATGGCTGGTCGCCTCCGGGTTGACACCTACTGTACGATCAGCACGTGAAAAAAAGCCTCGGTATCGGCGGCTTTGGCGGGTCAGCCAGGGGTACTTGGGTTACCTTGCGCTGTAGCGTGACGGCATCTTGTGGCCAAGACGTGTGCCACCGGAAGTTGGCGCGCGCTGCTCTCCTCCGACTGCCCTTTTGCAAGGGCTCGTTTTCGTACAGCGTCGCAATGAGCGAATAGCTACTGCAACGGGACGGCACACTCGAGCCATAGTGGATTGGGGGTCGCGCCAGCGCCAGCGCCAGTGCAAGCTCAAACGGCGTGAGAAGGCGACAATCTGAAGCGGTCGTCACGCCTAGTACGTAGGGGGGGTGGCGAACAGCGCCTATTAATCGTGGGGCAACTCGGCAGGCTCGTTTGCGCTTCGTTGGCTTCTCGTCTGGTAAGATGAGGCCTGGCTTGTGCTTGTAAGAGACATAGCCATTTGATCGACGCGTGGCTGCGGCACGGGTTGCTCGAACGCCATCGAATTTGCAGCCAGTCTCAGTGGAGGATCCTATCTCGCGTCGTTGGTCGCCTATCGGGTCATCAGGACAAAGAAACGCCGGGTGTGCTATTGTTGGCACCCATCCATCACGCAGACAAGGGCGGGGATTATAAGGCTCGTTGGAGCAGACAAAGGCCAAGAAGCTGGCGGCCAGGCTGTCCGATCTTGCATATTGATACGTTCAAACAAGACGTCAACAATATGGATCGTTTCATGCGAGGCCCAAGACCGGCCCGTCTATAACTGCTTTTCTTCTGATAGAACCAGTCAGTGGTGGTAGAAGTGGATCATGTGTAATTTGAGTGAAGGGTCTGCATGTCAAAAATCGTCAAAAGAGGGCCCGACGACACTGATGGGCTTCGACGAGGCGTTTGCAGAGCGCGCGCCGTGTGGTAGAATGGGGATCCCCTGCCGACCACTCCTTTGGGGGAAGCCTGATGGGCCTAGGAAAGAGCCAGCATGTCTCATGGCCATGAGAAGAAGAAGATGGAGCACGAAGCATTTGACAAGCGTTGCAGGTGTTCGATGTGCTTGAGTCGGCCGCCACAAAGACACAGTCAACAAGGTCATCCACGCGGGCGCCACAGTGAAGGATCCAGGATGGCCATGCGCTCCTAGCTGACTGACTATGCTGCCAAGTTCACAAAAGACATCCTTCCATTCCCATCACTCGACCCGGCTGGGCGCATCCAACGACAATGAGGTCAAGCTGTGGAGTCTCTGGTAGTCGTTGTATCAGGACTGCAGGAGATTCATTTCAGCATGTTGGCTGTCTCGGTTCCATCAATCACTCAAGCGCTGGCCAAGCTTCGTGGTTCCTTGCGTGGCCGCGGGTCACGCCACGGCCCCAAACCTCGGCGACTGTCGACTCCAACAGTTGAATCCATATGTATTGTTACGACACTCGATGGAAGCCCATGACTGTTTGGAGGAACCTTGGATCAGGATCTGTTCTGGAGTTGAGTCCATTGACTGTACTGATTGGCCTTGGTTCTCCCTCAACCAATGATCCGCTTGCAATGACTCTAGACGCCCGTTAAGCGCCGACCGAAGCCCTGCAGGACGACGGTTCGTGGACGACGGTTCGTGGACGACGGTTCGTTCCACGACATGTGTTCGACCCCTTTCTTCTCGAACACTTCTTCTAAGCTGACTCTACCCCAGATAATTCAGACCCGAGAGCCAGATTGCGTACCATTGCATGTCCAGCGCCTACATCCCTATTAATAACTCCCGTGCCAGGGGGGTTATGACGGGATTGAACAAGATCTCGACCCGGGAGGCGGCCCTTTCCAGGCGCCGAGCTCGAACTTCCATGCAAGGCACGCAACCTCAAGGGTCCAACATGGCGACAACCCTGGTTCGTAGGGCAACCATACGGCGTGGCATGCCCGGCTACACTAGGTATACATCGTGCTGGGCGTTACGCTGAGGGTAGACGATGCATATAGGCGTTTTCGAACACCAACCATATCGATGGCCATCCACCGTTCTACGACGAGTAGACGAATCTGGCACGTTGACGCCAACCTCGACGCGCCCTGACTGCCTCTCACCACCACAAGGCGGCTCCGTATCGCGCCCATGAACCCCTTAATCTAGATCGGACCCTTGGCTCACGGCCGACCAACCCCTGACATCATCCTCATCTGCCGCTCGAGGCAACATGATGCCCCCCCGTCCGGTATGTCTACCGCGGCGCGTGGAGGTCGTCATGAATGCACACGCCCTTCCACACATCACACCTCCCCCATGGAGAGGATCCTTGATCTCTACATGCCGAGCTACCAAGGAAGTGACGCCCTCCTCCCGCGGATGTGGGTGCGATCCCTGAGCCGGGCCCGCCTTGACGTGCTCTCTGTGATGTTTCTTCCCGATCTCCCGGGGCAAGGAATTGCCGGCATGGTTATTATTAGACCACAGCCATCCAGATGGTTTCTATATTTGGGAATCGGGACTGCAGCTGCAGCCGCCGATAAAGCCCCATGCTTAACGAGACGTCATGTCGTCTCCTCCAATATCAACCTCCTGGCCTCTCCCTTGTGAAGCTTGTCGCACAAACCCCCGAGTCCAGGCAGGCCATTTCTGCGTCTTTTACATGTCCATGTGAGACCATTTTTTTCTATTTCTCATAGTAGACTCGGCGATCGCGAATGGCTGATTGTATCTTGTCTGGCGATATCTTCGGATCCCCTCCCCGCCGCTACCCCTGGTCCGAGGCGGGCCCAAAGCCCCCATGAGCCCCTCATTCTCATGACCCCACCATGAAATGCGCATGGGCGATTGGTTTAGTGGTATAACGTCTGCTTAGCATCTGAAAATCGAGAGTCCATCGGTTGAGGGATATCGAATGTTGCCTGCTGAAGGTCCCGCGTTCGATTCGCGGATTGTCCACTGTCGCGTGCGAGAAGTCGTACGATAGCTTTTGCCGGTTGGGTCTTGTCATGTTCAACTCGGAATGCCGCCATTTTTAGTAGCAGGTTGACAAGGGTACGTACTGACAGATCACAGGTTGGAAGCGGCACACTTGGCGGGATAATCATGTCCTGACTTCATTGTTGACCGACCTGGCCGTCATGACCACCAGCAACCAACCGTCCCGAATGCTACGAGCTTGGAATCAACGTAACCGGGCCCCGTCCCCTCCAACGCCGTGAAGCCGTAAAGGCTGAAAGCATCCATCGCTAGTCTTGGATTAATTGTACAGTAGTTTGTTCGCACCGCAGACGGTGTGTTTGTCCGTGACGGCAAAGTGACTCGCATGCCAGTTGTTCCCCCGCTTGCCCAGCAATCATTCACCTTCACTTCTTCAGCCTCTTGGCGCTCTTGTCACTAACACCGCTCAGGACGCTGGCGCTCCGTTTATGGGGACCGCTGCTGCTCGGAGGCCTCGCCGCCTTGGCTGGCGAGGCTTTTTCTTCGTTCGTCTCAACAGAGGCAGCAGCAGCAGGGGCCGGTTCCTCCGTGGCCGCATCCTCCTTGCGGTCAGCGTTCTTGTCTGCCTTGGCAGGCTCATTGTCGTCATCGTTGTTGTCGTTGTCGTCCTTCTGCCCGTCGTCCTTTGCCTTGTCACCCTTTGCTGCCTCGGCTGCACTACCTTTGGCAGGGTTTTCGCCCTTGGCGTCCTTGGCCTGCTCCTCCTTGTCCTCTTCCTGGTCTTTGTCCTTGTCCTTGTCCTTGTCTTTGGGCTCGCGCTGCGCCTTTTTGGCGAGCTCAATCTTGATCTCGGCGTCAATCTTGTCCGTGACCTTGCGGGCGTCGAGCAGGCTGTTGATGGCGCCGAGCAGCTGCTCAAACTGGGCCGTGACGGCGGCCGTGGGCATGACGAGGCGCTGGGGAATGTCGAGCTCGTTGAGGGCGTTGGCGATGCGGATCTGCTGCTGGCCCGACTTGTTGGTGAAGAGCTTGTTGATCTTCTCGTAGCGGAAGGTCGGGCCCGCCTGCAGGCGGTCGTGGTGGGAGACGCCGTAGATGAACTTTTCGGCCTCGGAGAGCTTGCGTCGTTCGTGCGGCGTCTGCGCGCCCTTCCTGCCGGCGCCTGGTCCCTTTTCGGTCGTCGGCGTCTGCGCCACGCTGCCGATCGAGTCCCGGTGGCCGCCTGCCGCCGAGACGGCGATGCTCTCGCGTCTGTTGCCCGAGGCTTCGGCTGCTGCGGCTGCGCCGGCGGCGCCGGCAGCACCAGCAGCTGCAGCAGCGCCGGCGCCCGCCTGCTGCTGGCCTGGGGCGCCGGGGCTGACGCCGTCGGCGCCCATGAGGGACTTGCGCTTCTTGTTCTTGTCGACGGCCATCATGTTCTGCAGCAGGGTCTGGAGCCCCGTGCTCGACTTGAAGGCGTTGATGTCCTGGTCGGTGTGCGGGTAGTCGAGGCGGTTGTAGAGCTCGCGGCGCTCCTCGTTGAAGACGGAGCTGCGGGCGAGGATGCGCTTGATCTCGACGAGCAGCGACTCCTCCTCGTTGGCCTCCTCCTTGGTGCGGCTGAGGCCGTTGACGGCAAAGTCCTTGCGGACGCGCTCCTGCTGGGGGTTAAAGTTGAGCATGGTCTCGTGCAGGGCAAACTCTTCCTTGGTCATGTACTGGACGGGGGTCTGGGCGCTCATCATCTTGGCGGCGATTTCGTAGTAGCGGGCCTTGAGGGCCTCCATGGTCCTCGGCTTGGGCACGGGGATGATGGCCTTACTCTCGTCCCCGTCGGCCGAGGCCTCGCCGTTGATGGCCTCGGGCGCGTAGTCGTAGCGGTCCCAGATGACGGGCCAGCGCAGGTCGAACTCCCTGACGAGCCCCATGAGGTAGTCCGTCTCGTCCTTGGTCCAGTCGGCGCTCACGAGGTTGCTCTGGTACTGGTCCGGGCTGTACTGCGGCACGTCGACGTGGACGTTGTACTTGGCGAACGCCGAGTCCTCCAGCACCTGCTCCCGCTCCCGCTCCTGCTCCCGCTCCCGCTTGTGGTCCTGCGCCCTGGGATCGGCCGGCGCCGCGGCGTCTCCCTGTGCTGGCTGCGCGGCGCCCGGCCGGGCGGCGTCGTCGTCGCCGTCGGTTTTCCTCCGCCAGTGGCGCAGGACGAACGCGCCGTCGTCGCCGCGCGACGAGTTCTGGAAGGCGCGCAGCTCCCACCGCGCGGCGGGCTTCCGGACGGCGGTGCGTCGCTTCTTGAAGACGGAGACCTCGGGCACGATGGCGATGGGGTTGTCGCCGCCGAGGTTCTGGACTTCGCGCGCGAGGCCCTTGAGGTTCGGTCGTGAGGCGGCCGTCTTGAGTTTCTTGGCTGGCCGGGGCCCGGCGTGTGCGTCGAGGTTGAGGACGTCGCGGAGGTCGCTGGACGCCATTGTGAGGGAGGAAGAGAGAGAGAGAAAAGTGGTGATGATGGAGTGGGGTCGATGGTCGGATCAGGGTCTGTTGCCGCCCCACGGTGAGCCCATCGATTGCGCAGTGATGTGTTCGTGTCCGTTGGGTGCAGGTTGGTCGATGGAATTCGATGGGAGCAGCGAATGGTGGATGGTGGACGGTGGATGAGGATGAGGGTGGTCAATGGAATTGGCGATGGATGTGATGTGTGATGGTTGTGATGGCTCGAAAATTGACGACGCGCAGTGACCTGGCTCCTGCGTCGTGATCGAGGTACAGTGGGACGTGTACCAACCACTAAGCAGCTCTCAGCCACGGTTTTGCCGGGTCGCCTGTGGCGTCTACATACTGCCTGGAACAGCGCCTCTTCAATGGCGATACTTCGACTTCGTACTCGATGCCCCGAATTGATTATGTGTATACCTATTGACTACCTGATGTATGAGTTCGATCGATAGATAGTATGATGGATATAAGCTGACAGAAATTGGCCGCCTCGAGCCGACCATGTCGACCAAGTCCTGGCCATGACTTCCTCTCATACGGCAGCATGCCAGAGTGATTAATGGGTGGGATTTGGGTCAGCGATTGTTCGCCATCCCATGGGTTCGCCCACAGGTTCGAACCCTGCTGCTGTCGACAGCGTCCGGTAGTGAGCCGGACGTGCGTTTTGTTCTTCCTTAGGGTCTTGATTGACTGTGTGGCAGCCGTGGGTCAGAATGGTTGTCTTCTTCTTGATGGAACGGTGGGTAATGCCAAGCAGATGTGCATCGTATCGTGTGCTGCGGCTGAGGAGCCCTTTTACGATATACCAAGTCAATTCTCATCGGGTCATCGTGTCCTATTCGACTGAATATTACTGTTTTACCGGTGAAAGCAATCGACAGCTGGCCACCAACAGCGTGACAAGAGGTGCCAGCTGCCAGGATGCCCAAGAGTGGGGGAGCAGGTGGCCCCACCCGCCCGCCGGCACCGGTCGAGCTGCTGGAGTCATCGACTCGACCTCGACAGTACTTCCTGCGAGGGAATCCTGCGAGGGAAACCTGCGAGGGAAGGTACCCACGGAGGTACAGCATCAAGCTTCCCGCCTCGACCCTGAACCCTGAACCCTCTCTACATTCTCTGCCCTCGACCACGACTATGCGGCACTCCATGCCCCCCTCTCCCGGTCATAGCAGCTATCCTTAGACCTTCGAAGACAACTATCTTGTTCCGGCGACACCACCTTCCACCCGTCCGCCGCCCCTGTCGCATGGCATCGCCAGCATGCTCACCATCGCGTTGCCCAAGGCTGGCAGACGATGCAGACTGAGTAGTACCCTCGCCTCGCCTACGACGAGAACAACAACCGCGACCCCACAAACACCACCACAATGCAGGCACATCAACAACTCGGCCTGGCGAGCCGTCTCCGTTCTCGACGAGTGAGTTGTCTCCTCCGCCCCCAATCCACGCGCTGCTCGGCTGGTCACATGCTAACGTGCGCCCCCTCCTCCTCCTCCAGATGGGTAGCTCGTGAAGCCCGACCCATTAGTCTGCGGCAGCTCATGGTCTTTGGGCGCTCTCTGACCGAAGCTCGACTCTTGAGCTCGGCCAACTATGTGCGGACGGAACTGCCCACTCGGTATGCGAACCCAACAGCTCTCCACCCCCCCTTCCTCCACCACCGCCGCCGCAGCGTCACTGACATGCCCACCCGCGCAGCATCGCCCACCGCATCCGCGACATGCAGCAGCTGCCCTATGGCGTCGTCACGAACCCGCACATCAGCGACGTCTACCAGCTCTACCACAACGCCTTCGACACGTTCCGCAAGGTCAAGGAGGTCAAGACGCTCGAGGAGAACGACCACCTGTGCAGCATTATCGGCAAGATGCTCAAGACGCATCTGACCGTCATTCCCAAGCTGGCCATGGGCATATTAGAGAGCAACGGCCACATAGATCCCGCCGTGCTCGACCACTTCATGAACACAATCTTGCGATCGGTACGTCTGCCCAGTTCAGAGTGACATGCAGGCCGGCCGGCAGACAGACAGACCACTGACCGGTGTCCCCTCCCCACAGAGAATCTCGCGGCGCGTCATTGCAGAGCAGCACCTCGCGCTGACCGAGACGTTCGGCGCCGACTGGTTCTCGCCGGGCGCCAAGCTGCACGAGTCGGACTTTATCGGCGAGGTCTTCATCAAGTGCGTGGCCCGGGACGTCGTGGAACGGTGCTCGAGCGCCGTCGAGAAGCTCGCGCGCTCGACCTACGGGCCGGACGTGCGCGTGCCCGAGATCAAGATCAACGGCCACCTCGACGCCAGCTTCCCCTTTATCCTCAGCCACATTGAGTACATCATCGGCGAGCTCCTGCGCAACGCGGTCCAGGCCGTCATCGAGCGACAGCAGCGCCTCGCCGCCGAGGGCGGGCTCGACGCCACCACCGCCGCCCACCACCAGCAGCAGCCGCCGCCGCCGCCGATCGAGGTGACCATCTGCGAGGCCCAGCAGCACGTCATGATCCGCATCTCGGACCAGGGCGGCGGCATCCCGACCAACGAGCTCCCGTACCTCTGGTCCTTCAGCAGCGGGCCCCAGAGCCGGCGCCGGCTCGAGAACCTGCGTCGCGTCCCCAAGCTCGCCGCCACCATGCAGGAGCTGCACGTCTCGGACGAGCTCGGCCGCGCCGACCTCAAGACGCCGAGCTACGAGAGCTCCCTCGCCTCCCTCACCGGTCGCCCCCCCAACCTCCGCCTCGGCATCGGCCTGCCCCTGAGCCGCGTCTACGCCGAGTACTGGGCCGGCGGCCTCGAGCTGCACAGCCTCTGGGGCTACGGCGTCGACGCCTTTCTGCAAATCTCCAAGCTCGGCAACAAGAACGAGCAGCTGACGACGAGGGCGTCCATGGACGCGATATGAGTCTTGGGGTGGGCTGGGCGGAATACAGCATTTGCTTTTGTTCTGCTTCAAACCTCGTGCCTGAGAGATATCTACAGCTGCACGGACGGGACACGGGGTTTGAGCGATGAGGGAACGGAACGTCAGGGAAGACACAAGGGGCTTAGCGAATTGGATAGCATCGGTTTCATGAATTTTACCCACTGGGTTTCTCAGCTTCACTTTTGCCATGCACACACACACACACACACACACCCTTCATTTAGCATGCACATGCACATAGACGATGGTGTGGCGTTTCTTGGTATCATGAACAGGTGAGCTATTACATCGTACGTAGCCTCAAGTACTAAAAGGCGGCCGACTAAGTTTGGCATAACAAAAAAAAGGGGGGTAGTAGCTGCAATGGGAAACAGAGAACGGACGCATGGTGAGAAAAACCGGGAAACGCCAGCCTGCCTCGCCCTCTCGCTCGTGGAGGTGCCAGAAGACCTCTTGGGTCATGGGGGGAGGGGGGAAGGAGCATGCGCAGGACTTCATACATGCAGCACTCTCTCTCTCCCTCGCCACCCCCCACCCCCAACCGTTCCCGCCCTACGGGAACAGAAAAGAACTTTTCCGACCGCCAGAGGAGCAAGCAAGTAAACAAGCAGGCAGATCCGTGAGCACGTTGGAGAAGCATCGAGCTATTCCGTCATTGTCCACTTCAAACGACGATAACGGGAACGGCCGAGCGACGAGAGAGACGTGTGCAGTTCCGCGGAACCAGCCTGGACACGGGACGCTTAACGGCGGCCGTGGCTGCGGATGGCGCCGGTGCCCTGCATGGCCTCGAGCTCCGTCTCGAGCTGCTTGATCTGGGCGTGTGTCTGCTCGAGGTCCTTGTTGAGGCGGTCGCGCTCGGCGATGAGCTTCTGCTCCCACTGGCGGAAGCGCTGCTCCTCGATCTTGACCTGCTCGGTGAAGCGCTTGCGCAGGGCCTCCTCCTCCTCCTTGAACTTGGGGTTGTCGAGCTTGCGGGGGCGGGCCTCGCCGAACTTGCGCGTCTCCATCTGCTGGGCGCGGTAGGCCTCGTAGTGCAGCTCCTCGGTGGTGTGGATGAGGTCGAGCATGTGGGTGCGGATGAGGATGGAGCGCAGCTTCTTGAAGTCGCAGTGGTCCTCGTTCTCGACCTCGGCGACACCCCACGAGTACTGGCGACCCTTGACGATGCGGCCGTCGCCCGTCTTGACGTCCTTCTCGGAGCCAATGACGGCAAAGGGCATGGCGGCCATGAGGCTGCGCGCGTGCTGGGCGGCGGCCTCGTCATCCTCCTCGATCGGCGGCTGGTAGATCTTGATGTTCTGGGCCTCAATGACGGCTTGGATCTGGACAAGGGCGCTCTGTTAGCGGATGCTCACCGCTCCATGTGCGGACGGACGAGAGAAACCAAAAAAAAAGCGTACCCTTTGCTTGAAACGGGCGAGGTCAGAGGGGCTGAGGGTGTCGGCCTTGGCAATGACGGGGATGAGGTTGACTCTGGAGCACAGCCTCTTCATGACCTCAATGTCGAGGGGCTTGAGGGTGTGACCGGTGGGACGGATGAAATACAGGCAGGCGTGGACACGGAGATCGATCTTGTCCTGGCGGCGCGGCTGCTGCTCCTGAAGCATGTAGGACTCGTGCTGGTCGTCGAGGAACTCGATGATGGGCATCCAGGAGTCCCTGTTGTTGACGTAGTCGCCGAAGCCGGGGGTGTCGATGACGGTCAGGCGAACTGTGCAGGTCAGCCTCTGGTCTTGTCCTGTCATGTCCTGTCATGGACTTAAAGGGGACGTGTCAAGCCTACCCTTGAAGAACTTCTCCTCGAGCTCGGCCTTGGTGATCTCAATCTCGACCGTCTTGTCGACCTGCTTCTGGTGTCGTCGCTTGTGGTCGGCATAGTTCTTGATGGTGGTGGAGAACAGCGTGTTGATGAAGGTGGTCTTTCCGAGGCCAGACTCGCCAGCAACCTGTGGGTATCCTGTCAGCAGACCGTATTGATGCAGATTGATGCAGATGCATGTTTTGTTGCACAGAGAAGGACGGACCATGATGGTGAAGCCAGCTCCCCTCTTGGCGACAATCTTGTGACGCTGGTTAGGGAGGTTGGCAATGCCAATCGGTGAGGCGCTCTCGGCGGCGGTGGGAGGAGCCATCTTGAATGTGGGTTGTTGATAATCCGTCACAGAGTCAATGGCGGTTTTTCTTAAAAGGGAATCGACGCGAGCTTGAGTGAAGGATGCACGCAGATGGGTCGAGGTCAAGATCGAGGTTGGTCAGGCTCTTTGGGGGGTTTATCGAAGGTCGAGAAGTATGGGTTGACCGTTGGACGGGGGTCGGGCCAAAGATGCTGAGCTGTGCTCGTGCTTTCAGAATCAGGGGGGGGGGGAAACTGCCCGCCAAATTTCCCTGCCGGCTGCTTGGGGGAGACAAGCGAAAAGGGAATGAGGAGTCCCCTTTTTCTTGCCCAATGAGGGAGCCGTCCCTGGATCCTGGGCAAGACGCCGCCTTTCCCTCTTGAGCGTAGCGTACCTGGTGGGTCGTAAGGAGCTCTGGAAGAATTATCCACCGGCCCCCCGCCGAAAGTTTTCTTATCGATAAGCATTTTCTCGATCGGAGGCAGGAGGCAGGAGGCAGGAACCCAGAAGCCCAGCAGAGAAATGCGACGACCACGATTCCCACATGTCAGTGAAGCGGCGCCCAGGCAATCATGAATACCGACTTTAAGGCAAGACCTCGCCCCTTTACTTTGAGACTCACCTCTGACTGATTGACCGCGACAGTTCTCCAACTTGCTCGGTACGGTGTACTGCCAGGGCAACCTGCTCTACAGTCCCGACGGCACCCAGCTCTTCTCGCCCGTCGGCAACAGAGTGACCGTCTTTGACCTGGTCAAGTACGGCCCTCATCACTGCTGTAGCGCTTGACAAGATCTCGCAGCTGACATGCCTCTCCTCGCAGCAACAAGTCGCACACGCTTCCCTTTGCCCACCGCAAGAACATCGCCCGCATCGGCCTCACGCCGCGGGGCAACCTCCTGCTCTCCGTCGACGAGGACGGCCACGCCATCCTGACCAATGTCCAGCGCCGAATAGCGACCTACCACTTCTCCTTTCGCGGCAAGGTCACGGCCCTCGCCTTTGCGCCCTCGGGCCGCCACTTCGCCGTCGGCCTCGGCCGCAAGATCGAGGTCTGGCACGTCCCCTCGACGCCCGACTCCAACGCCGCCGGCGAGCTCGAGTTTGCGCCCTTTGTCAAGCACCACACCCACACCCAACACTTTGACCATGTCCGCCATATCGAGTGGTCCAGCGACTCGCGCTTCTTCCTGAGCGCGTCTAAGGATATGACGGCGAGGATATGGAGCCTCGACCCCGAGGACGGCTTCGTGCCCACCGTGCTCTCGGGCCACAAGCAGGCCGTCGTCGGCGCCTGGTTTTCCGAGAACCAGGAGACCATCTACACAGTCAGCAAGGACGGCGCCGTCTTTGACTGGCAATACGTCGGCAGGCCGAGGCGGCAGGAGCATGCCAACCATGACGACAACGACGACGACGACGACGAGATGGCGCTGGACGACGAGGAGGCCGACATGCGGTGGCGGATCGTCAACAGGCACTACTTCCACCAGAACGACGCCAACGTGCGGTGCGCGGCGTTCCACCCGGAATCCAACCTCCTCGTGGCCGGCTTCTCCAACGGCATCTTCGGCCTCTACGAGATGCCCGACTTCAACCAGATCCACACGCTCAACATTTCCCAAAACGAAATCGACTTTGTCACGATCAACAAGAGCGGCGAGTGGCTGGCCTTTGGCGCCTCCAAGCTCGGCCAGCTCCTCGTGTGGGAGTGGCAGTCCGAGTCGTACATCCTCAAGCAGCAGGGCCACTTTGACTCGATGAACTCGCTCGTCTACTCGCCCGACGGCCAGCGCATCGTGACCATTGCCGACGACGGCAAGATCAAGGTGTGGGACGTCGAGTCGGGCTTCTGCATCGTCACCTTCACCGAGCACACGAGCGGCGTGACGGCGTGCGAGTTTGCCAAGAAGGGCAACGTCCTCTTCACGGCCAGCCTCGACGGCTCCATCCGCGCCTGGGACCTCATCCGCTACCGCAACTTCCGCACCTTCACGGCGCCCACGAGGCTGTCCTTTTCCTGCATGGCCGTCGACCCCAGCGGCGAGGTCGTCGCCGCCGGCTCGCTCGACTCGTTCGACGTGCACATCTGGTCCGTCCAGACGGGCCAGCTGCTCGACCAGATGTCCGGCCACGAGGGCCCCGTGTCGGCCCTCGCCTTTACGCCCAACGGCGACTCGCTCATCTCCGGCAGCTGGGACCGCACGGCGCGCATCTGGTCCATCTTCAACCGCACCCAGACGAGCGAGCCGCTGCAGCTGCAGGCCGACGTGCTCGACATTGCCGTCCGCCCCGACTCGCTGCAACTCGCCGTCTCGACGCTCGACGGCCAGCTGACCTTCTGGTCCGTCACGGACGCCGAGCAGGTCGCCGGCGTCGACGGCCGGCGCGACGTCTCGGGCGGCCGCAAGGCCACGGACCGCCGCACCGCCGCCAACGTCGCCGGCACAAAGGCCTTCAACAAGATCCGCTACAGCACCGACGGCTCGTGCGTGCTCGCCGGCGGCAACAGCAAGTACATCTGCCTCTACTCGGTGCACACCATGGTGCTCCTC